TGAGACAGGCTAGTGGGATGGAGTGGATCCTCTGTACTCCATGACTCTGGGAGCCCTAGTTGCTGGGACTGAAAAAATTCTGTAACTGCATGACAGGACACAGGGTGTGACTGGCTCTCTGGGCAAACACTGTGAGTGGCTCCACAGGCTCCTAGCTCGCTGATTACCTGGGTTAGGTCATTATAATGGGATCCATGCTCATGCTGAGGCCTGCACAGATCATTTGTGCATTTCATGCAGAAGCACAGATGAGTGTTGCACCCACTGAGGGTTAACACCTTGGCATTGATCACCTTGGAAGGGAGGAGGTGAGGGTGAGATTGCACCAACAGAAGTGACCATTCCCCCCTTCTATTAATAAGAGAAGATCTACCATGCACAACTTGGATGTCACCCTGGATACTCACCCAACCCTGGAGCACTGACCAGAGCTCCCTAGACACACCCAGCACAAACTTTCAGTATTCACTGAAAGAGCAGATATTCCACCAACTAAAAGGCATAGTTTAAAGATAAATGCCATCAGAGCAAAAAACACACAAATATCTCCAAAAATGCCTAAAAACAAACACAGAAATTCAAGGAACAAGATTATGGAAGACAACATGACGTCCTCCACACACACACACACACACAAAAGCTCATAATAACACTTCAATATGAGAATGAGAAGATGAAGCGATTGAAGAAATGTCGGAAATGGAATTCAAAATGTCAGTCATAGGATTACTCAGAAGCAGTAAGAAATAAATCTATGAATTAAAGAAATTTATACATGACATGAATGAAAAATTTTCCTATAAAACTGAGATTTTAAAGAGAAATAAAACTGAAATATTAGAAATGAAGACTTGAGGCCTGCACCATGGCTCACTTGGCTAATCCTCTGCCTGCAGCGCTGACATCCTGGGTTCTAGTCCCAGTTGGGGCGCTGGATTCTGTCCCGGTTGCTCCTCTTCCATTCCAGCTCTCTGCTGTGGCCCAGGAAGGCAGTGGAGGATGGCCCAAATGCTTGGGCCCTGCGCCTGCATGGGAGACCAGGAGGAAGAACCTGGCTGCTGGCTTTGCATTGGCACAGCATACTGGCTGTAGTGTGCTGGCCGTAGCGGCCATTCGGGGGGTGAACCAATGGAAGGAGGACCTTTGTCTCTCTCTCTCTCTCTCTCTCTCTCTCTCTCTCACTGTCTAACTCAGGCATGCCTGTCCAAAAAAAAAAAAGAAATGAAGACTTGAATAAATCAAATAAAATGTGGAATATGTGGATATCCTTAAAAACAGACATGGTGAGGCAAAAGAAAGTATACCTGAGCAAGAAGACAAACCTTTGGAAATTTTACAGACAAAAAAGAAAGCATTAGAAAACTTAAAAACATTTACTTATTTATGGTATACTATCAAATGACCAAACATATGGGTCTTAGGAGTTACTGAAGGTGTGGAAAGAGAGAACTGATTAGATAGCCTATTTAGTGAAATAATTACAGAAAACTTCCCTAATTTGGAGAAAGAAAGGGACGACAAGCACAAGTATTAGACTCCTAATAGACATGACCAGAAAAGAGCTTCACCATGACATATTCTAGTCTAACTTTCAACAGTAAACCATAAGGATTCTACAATATGCATGAGAGAAATGCTAAATTACTTTCATAGGATCTCCAATTAGACTCACAGCAGACTACTTACTAGAAACTCTAAAGGATAGAAAAGAATGGAGTGACAGTTCAAGTTTGAAGAGAAAAAACTTAACCCAGAATACTGTACACTTCAAAGCTCCCATTTATGAATTAAGGTGAAATACAAACTTTGAATAACAAAGAGAAATTGGAAGAATTTGTCACCACTCTTCCAGCCTTACAAAAGATGTTTAAGGATGTGCTACACACAGAAAAACAGAAACGTTGTCATCACTATGAAAGAACTTGAAGGCAAAAAAATCGTGCAGTAAAAGTACAAAAGAAATCTAAATTAAGCAATAGGAATATTTATTGGAAAATGGTAGATCCAAGTTGTTACTTATCAATAATCGCCTTGAATGTAAATGGTCTCAACTCTCCAGTTAAAAGATACAGACTGGCTGAATGGACTGAAAAACAAAACCATCTATTTGATGCTTACAAGAAACACACCTCACCAACAAAGATACACACAGACTGGAATAAAAGGATGGAAAAAGATATTCCATGTTAATGGAAAGCAAAAGAGAGCATGTATAGCCATCCTAATTTTAGACAAAATAGACTTTAACACAAACACTGTTAAAAGAGACAAAAAAGAGCACTATCTAATGACTAAGGGATCAATTCAACAGGAAGATGTGGCTATAATAATAAACGTATATGCATCCAATTACAGGGCACCTGGGTATTTAACAGGAATGTTAATGGATGGAAAGGGTGATAAACTCTAATACAATAGTAACAGGGGAGTTCTACACCTCATTTTCATTAATAGACAGGTCAACTAGATGGAAAATCAACAAAGAAACAAGAGGGCTAATTGACACTATGGAACAAATGGACCTAACTTATATCTCCAGAACTTTTCATCCACATTTGCAGACTTCACATTCTTATCAGTGCATGGAAGTTTCTCTAGGGCGGATCATATTCTAGGCCATAAAGCAAGTCTTAGCAAATACAAAAAAGTCAACACCAGGCATCTTTTCTGACCACAATGGAATGAAGCTGAAAATAACTCAAGAATCTAGAAAAAGAATTTGCTAAAGTGGCAGGATATAACATTACCACACAAAAATCAATAGCTTTTTTATACACAGGCAAGTAATTTTTTTAAAAAAAGTAAGAGATATGTTTAGGTCACAGTTTGTGCAGTCAACAATAAAATCAAACAACCCTATTGGTTTGGTATTTGGTGAAGGCAGGAAAAAACAATTTTGGGGTACATGCAATAAAAGATCACATGGTAAGCCAGGAAGCAGAGAAAGCAGCACAGCCCAACTCAAGCTGTTTTAACAACCCTCTCAAAAGAATTGATGAAATAATACAACAACAATTTTTCAAAGATACATCACTAATGACATAAAGACCCTCCCTCTATGGGACTGGCACTGTGGCATAGTAGGTTAAACCTTCACCTGTGGCACAGACATCCCATATGGGCATGAGTTCAATTCCCAGCTGCTGCACTTCTGATCCAGCTCCCTACTAATGGCCTGGAAAAGCAGTGGAATATGGTTCAGGTGCTTTTGTCTCTGCACCCATGATTGAGACCCAGAAGTTCCTGGCTCCTGGCTTTGGATAGGCCCAGCTCCAGCAGTAGCAACCATTTGGAGAGTGAACCAGAGGATGGAAGACCTCACTCTGTATTTGCTTCTCTCTGTCTGTAACTCTGCCTCTCAAACAATTAAATAAATCTCTGAAAAAAAGACTCACTTCTAGGCCCAAATTTTTAAAGATTCCATCACATTCCAAAAATGTCACCCTGAATACCAAGCCTTTTACACATATTCTTGGGGGATAATCCCACTAATATCCAAAGCAAAGTAGGAGGGTATAAACACCATTGTCAACATGTCAATCCATAGTTTTTCTCATTGCCTACTTGGAAAGTTCAAAAACCAAGTAATAGATATGGGAGGGTACATAATTCATTTATGTTGCTGTTCTGATAATTTTGCATTTAGCTTTTCAAACTCTAATTCAAGAAAGCTATAATATAAATCAATATAAATCACACAAACACCTAGCATTTCCAGACCTCTCATAAATAAGTTCTACTACCTTATAGTTCAAATTTATGCTTGAACTATATTTTCAAAGAAATTAAATTTCTTTTCCTTTTCTGCCCAATAAAGAACATATTCTTAGAGGTAGTATTCTAAGTGAATGAGTAACATTATAACTAAAATGAAATTTACATAGAAATGATAAAAAAGATTCTGGACATTCTATCTGGTGACAGTTTCCATTCTGAAGCTCTCCTTGCATTCAGTTACATGTTGAAAGGACTTTGTTTCATTGATTACACGGTGACTCCATCATTGGATCCTTAAAGTCATAAATAGCTTTAACATCTTTTAACATTTTTATCCTTGAAATTAAGAAGCTCCTGACAACTCTGGATATGAGAACTTTGTGCCAATTGAATTAATGGCATCTTGAGAAGATTATCTGAAATCAGAAAACTTATACTCTTCATTATACTTAATTGCCGATCATTTAATAGCTAAGTCTTGCCACAGAACCATGAATGAGGTCATTTCCTGAGGATTAACTTGTATGAAATCCAGAAAGAGGAATGTGCACAGAATTCCATGTAACCTGGAATACTATGTTCAGACACCTGGCCAGAGAGACAGTCTGAGGTGAGGCTGCACCTGGAGCTAGGATAGGTGGCACACAATCCTGGGGCCAAGCCAGTCAAATGAGTTCCACACAGCATCCCTATCATCAATATTCTCAACGTCATACATCTCTTTAATTGTTTAAACATAGCTTATATGTAACTCAATTGCAACAAATATTTTGAATTAAAGTCTAGATCCACTAGCTGGACACTTTCTAAGTCAGTCTGTTGTTGCTTTTGTTTTCTATTTTCTGTTCTTAAAAAGTGTGTGATTCTTAAAATACTTAAGAATAAATTAAATGAAAACTCTAAAAATGTGAAGTTTTGAAGTTGTATGATGTTGCTTTCTTGACTTTAATTCTACTTTAGCAACTTGCACTTACAGTGAAAAGCATGAGTACTTCCTAATGCAACTAAATTATTTTGGAAGAAAATATATTTGGAAGAAAATATGGATGATTTTGAGTCTGATTGTCAGGCAAATATGATCTTACTTGGCTGGATTTAAAATAGTAAGATGACTTCTAGGCAAAACAGAAAATGAAAGGAGAAAGTGTTGCCCTCAACTCTTGGGATATTAATATCCTGTGTACATTGCTGATAATAGATTTGCTTCCATTCCTGTGTAAGAGATATTTCTTAACCTGAGGCCATACGTTCAAAACAATCATGTAATAACATCTCATACTCACTAAACCAGTAGCTCCAAACTGAAGTTGGTGGATCGTCTCCAAAAAACCAACACCGCCAGAAGAAGCCTTCATGATGGTATATAACGGATATTTCCTCATAGTTTCTCAAATCTTCATCATACTATGAAATAAAATATTCATTTTTTGAAATTCTGGCTCCACAAGTGAAATCATGTTTTGCATGGAATTCTACAACATACTGAGGAGATACAATTTATCTGCAGAGTAGGAAATGCATTTATAGGATACACTGCCTGGCATTTATTTTGTAATAAATAGTCCTCAAATAAGTACTCCTTAAATTTTAATGTACACAACCAGAGGCCTTGCTGAACCATACATTCTGGTTTGTTATACACAGATGGAGACCAAAATCCTTCATTTCTAACAAGCTCTCAAGTGATTCCATTTCTGCTGTTTGGTGGATGACATTTGAAGTGGCAAAACAATATTGCTCCAAAATAGAGTAGAATATGTTGATATGTTTTAATGTTTGATGGTGTATATGTAGGGAATCATTATAATATTCCTTCTATTATTGTATGTTTAATTTTTCATAATAAAAAGTTTTAAATAGTGAATTTAAAGTAAATAATAAGTGCAGTAGGCTCAATATATATCTTAAAAGTTCGTTGAAAATAGGTATAATGAAAAAATACGCAAATATTTTAAAATGATTGTACCACAAAAAACTTACCTTATAATTCGATTGTTCACACAAACTTTTTGAAGTATCCTCATATGTATATTTAAATGACTGGCTACCTAATCATCAATTTAAATGGAAAACATAAGTTTCAAATACTCCTAGTTGCAGAAGGACTCAAGAAAGAGCCCACTGACTTTGTGCAATATAACTGAAGTATAGGTACTCTATAAAGGATAATATCATTTAACAAAGTGCCCTCCGAAGGTATATATAAATACAACATAAATTTTTGTTCTTCTTAGGTGTTATATAATACCCCCCTTTGAGAATAATCTGCTGCTGCACCTACCGCTGCACCATAATTTGAGTTAAAAATTGCAGCAAGGCCTTTTGCCATTCAGGCAGTCAATTGAGACCGGAAGTGGGATCATTTCTACTGCTTATTTAGACTAAGCTTGACCTGACCAAATATCTATACAGAAAAAAATTCCAACCAAGACATCTCCACTGCCTTAAATATTTCAAATTGCTGTGACTGAGACAATCAGATTTGAAAAGTCAAGGCTTGTTTATTCCAAATAACTTATATAAGATGAGATTGACTAATAGAAAGCCTAATCTCTAAGATATATATTTTAGTCTCTGATTTTTTTATTTTTACAAATATTTTTATAATTTTTAAGACTCACATTTTTGATTAATGATAATTGTTCACATTTATGGGGTGCAATATGACATTTCAATATATGAATGCAATGTGTACTGATCAAATGTGGATAATTAATGTTTTTACCTCTCCTTGTCATTACATTATGATTGGATTATGGAGCTCCCTCTATTTGCTAAGAAATTTTAAGTTATTATAAACACCTACTGGCTGTGTAACACTAGGAAATTATTCCTTCTATTATTTGGTACCCATCATACAAACTCCCTTAACCTACACCCTCATTCATCTTAACCTCTAATAACCACTATTATAAATTCATATCAATATTTTAGATTACATATGTGAGGGAGAACATGGATATTTGTCTCTCCATGTCTGGCTTATATCAGTTCTGATAATATCCTCAAGTTGCATTCATTTTGTTGCAAATAACAGGATATCATTTTTCATGGCTGAATAATATTCTATTATATATGTATACCACATTTTCTTTATGCATAAGTTGATGGACATCTTGGCTGACTTCATAAAGGGCATATTTTAAGATCATTTTTATTATTTTCAAGTACATAGTTATTTAAACTATACTTTTTTTTAAAAATTTTTTTTATTTGACAGATAGAGTTAGACAGAGAGAGACAGAGAGAAAGGTCTTCCTTCCACTGGTTCAACCCAGCTGCTACGGCCGGCGCTGCACCAATCCGGAGCCAGGAGCCAGGTGCTTCCTCTTGGTCTCCCATGCGGGTGCAGGGCCCAAGCACTTGGGCCATCCTCCACTGCCTTCCCCAGCCACAGCAGAGAGCTGGACTGGAAGAAGAGCAACCAGGACTAGAACCTGGCATCCATATGGGATGCCGGTGCCACAGGCGTAGGGTTAACCAAGTGAGCCATGGCACCAGCCCCTAAACTATATTTTTAAAATGCATTATCTACTAGAAGTTCTTAGAAAGCTCAATTGAATTAATAGCATATTTTCTAATGTTAATTGGTGCTTCCAAATTTTTGTGGGGATTCAATAGATTCTACCCTTATATCATCTAAATATGATTTATGAATACTGTGTATTCTTTTAATTTGCAGTGTGTAGTATTATAGTTTCAATAATAGTTTGGATGTCCTAAAAATTTCCATGTATTGGTTAATTCTCAAAGTCTCATATTAATGATTAATGGATTACATTTAATAGTTAATTGATGAAAGGTAGAAACTTGATCTAATATGTTATTTAAGATGTGCGCTCAGTGGGAGGTCTTCAGTTCATTGAGAGAAACCCTCAGAAATTAGGTTCTCACCAAAAGGTTGGTTGCTTATAAGTGCTTAGTGAGCCTAGCTTCTCTCACTCCCTCCCTTGCTGGCTCTCTCACTTTCTCACTCTCTTTCTCTCTCTGCTTTCTGGTTCACCATATGATTCCCAGTTCCCGTACCAGTCCACCATCCACCACCCTCATCATACTTCAGACCAAAGAGACTCTGTGATTTTGTACTGTTAGCCTCCAAAACCATAAGCCAAAATAAACCTTCCTTCTTCCTAAGTAGCTTCTCTTGTATATTGTAAATTGTCACAAAAGCTGGCATAGCTATTAAGGAACTTTATGTATTAAAATAATGCTGGGGAATACATTTGTCATAATGGTTATCCCATATCAGAGTGCCTGTGTGCAAGACCCGGCTCCACTCATGATTCCAATTTCAGCTAATGCACTCCCTGAGAGGCAAAAGGTAATGGCTCAAGTAGCTGGGTCCCTGTCACCCACACTGGAGATCTGGATTGAGTTTCTAGCTCCCAATTTCATTGTTCATCAGCCCCAGTTGTTGCAATTATTTGTGGAGGGAACCAGGGGGTGGAGCAATCTCTGTATCTCTGCATCTCTCTGCCTTCAAAATGAAATGCTAATTATTTGATTAAAATGCTGGAAACTGCAGCATAGCTCTGTCTTATTCATAGTAGTGGAAGCCAAACGAATGTGTTTATGATTTATGTATTTGGTCAATGTAGAGATAGTTTTTAATACTTCTTTTGATCTCCTGACTATGTAATGGGTATATTCTCCCATCTTCAGTTTCCATATATGTACTTTTGTGACATAGTAAAGACCATGTATACGTTAAGAACTGTAGGGAGTGGTGCTGTGGCATAGTAGGCTAAGCCTCTGACTGCAGTGCCAGCATTCCATACGGGCGCCAGTTTGTATCATGGCTGCTCCACTTCTGATCCAGCTCTCTGCTATGGCCTGGGAAAGCCCTTGGGCCTCTGTACCCACGTGGGAGACCCAGAAGAAGCTCCTTGTTCCTGGTTTTGAATTGGCCCAGCTTCAGCCATTGCAACTATTTGGAGAGTGAACCAGCGGATGAAAGACCTTTCTCTCTGTCTTTCCCTCTCTGTCTGTAACTCTACCTCTCAAATAAATAAAATAGTTTTAAAAAATATAAGAATGGTAGAAATGTTGGATACTAGACCCAGTTTTATTAACTAAACTCTCCTAGTAGTGAATGCCAAGAAATGATTTAAAAAAAAAAAAAAAACTTCTGTAAGTAATTATACAGAACGTGGGAGATTGAGAACTCTTGAGCTCAACAATGACCACACATGAAAGCAGTTACACATGAAACTTGTCAATTGTTCCATTTGCTAGCATCTGTGATTAACTGTGTAATATGAGAGAATATGGGTGACAATAGCTAACCAACACAAGATAAGGAATTAGTTTTGGATCAACGTGTTTTTTTTTTTTTTTATTTCTGCACTTCAATTATTCTTTTTTTTAAATATTTTTTTTATTTGAGAGGTAGAGTTACAGAAAGAGAGAGGGAAAGAAAGAGAGAAAAGTCTTCAACCCACTGGTTCAATCCCCAAATGACCACAATGGCCAGAGCTGAGCCTATCTGAAGCCAAGAGCCAGGAGCCAGGAGCCAGAAGTTTTTCCGGGTCTCCCACATGGGTGCAGGGGCCCAAGGACCTGGGCCATCTTCCACTGTTTTCCCAGGCCACAGCAGAGAGCTGGATCAGAAGAGGAGCAGCAAGGACTTGAACTGGCACCATTATGGGATGCCGATACCTCAGGCAATAGCTTTACCTGCTATGCCACAGAGCTGGCCACAGAGCTGGCCCCTTCAATAATTCTCACATGAAACAACTATGATCTATTCTGGGCACAAGTAAAAGGTGCGATGTATAACATCATGGCTTCATATTGTTTTCTGTTCTCTCCATGTGAGTCTAGCACTAACTTCTCATTCTACGTAATTCCATACTAGAAAACAGAAGTGATTACACTAAACTTTAATCAAGTTTTTCTTATTCATCATTTTCACTAATCTTTTATTTCTACTAAGTATCATTCTTAATAGTATTCTTAATAAAGAAACAGTACAGAAAGGGTCCAGAGTAATAATTACCATTATCATCAATTATATTTTAGATTGTTATTTAGATATTTGCTAACTTAAGCAATAATTTAGTGTCTTGTTGGTAACTTGACATCAATATTTGTTGAAAAATATTCCATGAATCTGATTTCTAGAAATTATGTCTATGAAATCTACAGATATGCTTATTTTTCTCTTACAGTAAATATGCTTTTTTAAAGATTTAATTTATTTATTTGAAAAGCAAGTTACAGAGAGGCAGAGGCAGAAAGAGAGAGAAAGGTCTTCCATCCGCTTGTTCACTCGCCAGATGGCCGCAATGGCTGAAGTTATACCGATCAGAAGCCAGGAGCCAGTAGCTTCTTCCAGGTTTCCTATGTGGGTGCATGGGCCTCAGGACTTGGGCCATCTTCCACTGCTTTCCCAGGCCATAGCAGAGAGCTGGATCAGAAGTGGAGCAGCCGGGACTCGTACCAGCACCCATATAGGATGCCGGCACTATAGGAGGCAGCTTTACCCACCACGCCACATCGCTGGCCCCTACAAATACTTTTAATGATTGAAAATTGCCTTTACTCAAATGAATTATTACAGGGAAAATAGAATTGTTAATAAATTTATTTGTTAATAATCATGTACTATTCATGGGATATTAGCTCTGGATATGATCTTTGCTTCTTACATACAGGTGGCAAATATGGTATATATCATAAACAAATGAAATCATCAGAAAATAGTGGAAAGAATACTGGATTGAAAGAGGGGAAAATCCTGTTTTAGATACTTTCCTATCCATAAGTTTTGAGAACTTTAAGAGCCCCACTTTCTCAAATGTCAATTAATTATCTGATCTGTAAAATTAATTCAGTGAATTTTCACTAAAAGCCAACCATATTTGTAAGTATTAGTATCAGCTGTGTAATGTAAAGGGCACTGGATGGGGAGTGAAGTGAATGGTGCTTATTAAAGCTTGGACTATATGATTTCTGTAATCACTTTCAGTTGTAACATTCTAGGATTCTATTTATTGCCCACAGTACTATTCATAGAAGTCATATATATGTAATAATATATGTAAACTGTATAGATAGCAGCCTAAGTAATGTAACATCATAGATGCCAGGATGGTACCCAATTAGAAAATCTCTTTACAGCCCGCATCTGCCACTAGAAATGTATCCCTTTGGAGCCAGCGTGGTGGCATAGCAGGTAATGCTGCCACCTGCAACACCAGCATATAGGCTCTGGTTCAGGGCCTGGCTTCTTCACTTCCAATCCATCTCTCTGCTAATGGCCCAAGAAAAGCAGTGGAAGATGGTCTATGTGTTTGGGCCCCTGCACCCACATGTGAGACCCAGATGAAGCTCCTGGCTCCTGGCTTTGGCTTGGCCCAGGAGTGGCCGTTGTGGTCAGCTGATGACTGAACCAGCAAATGAAACATCTCTCTCTATCCCTGTATCTTCCCCTCTCTGCATAGCTCTGACTTTCCAAATAAATAAATAAAAACCCAAAAGGAGAAATGTATCCCTTTGATCATTAGAAGGCAAACACTGCTGAGAGTGGTACCACCTTAAGACTAAACCATCATCTACACATTTATGAAAGTTTTAACCAGTAGAAATTTTTAAAATAATAATGGGTGGGATATAAAGAGCATACATTAGTTAAGAACTGAAGCAATGGAAGCCTTCATGAAATGGAAAATGGCATACGAAACAAAAAATGATGGCGTGAGAGAAAACTTTAGCCAACCTCTGAATTTTCTGAGAACCTAAATCAGCACTTCCAGACTCCTCACACAGAATAGTCCAGAGAATTTTAGCATGAGCTGTCATCACCATCTAACTCTCAAGAATCGATTTTGTCTTCAGGGAAGCAATAGCTTTTCTGCTGTAGTGGAGAATTGCTTCAAAGAGTAAATCTTGTTTTTTTTCTGCATGAAGATGTTACAAAGATTAGTCAATACTAAGTGATGAGTGTAGTTTTGTAATATGTTTATATTTCACTTCCCTGACATTGAAGTTTGAGAAGTCATTGGTTCAGAAGTGAACTTTCCCATAAAACTTCTATTCTTACTGAACTAAAGTTGTAACAAAAGAAAATCAAAAGTAACTTTGAGCCATTCTGAAAGAGATATAATGCTTCTTCATAAGAGGCCATCTAAAGAAATGTAATGCTTAAGTTCATTAATAGATAAAATATTTTGCCTTACATCTCTACATTAGCCTTTTTTGTTGGTATAGATATTGATATTGATATGGATATAGATACAGATTTACACGTATATTTCAAGCCTTAGCTTTAAATGTTAAAATAACTAAAAACAAAATCACATCAAGGAAAACATTTTGCAGGATAATAATCCAGATTACCAGGTTTTAATATGTGAAACTAACATGCCTGGCAAATAAACCTGCAACAATATTTATTCAAGCTTTATAAGGTTCAAGTCCCACTTCTTATACTAGTCTTTCCTAAGACATTTATCCTGTGTTCTACATGTCCAAGCTACAAATCAACTCTGAAAAATAGTCACTAAATTTAAAAATAAAACTTACTAAAATTAAAACCAAAAAAAATCATCTTACACTCCAGAATGTCAATTTTCTAAAATGCAGATTTCTTTTATGGGAAATTGTTGAAATCCCATATTTTCTAAAAACTGCATTAGATTTCTGTTTACCTCATCTTCAGTGTCCAAAGTTCCATTGTTAGTATCAAAACTTTCACAGGTCTCCGTTGCAAGTAACCAATATTCTGTTCCAAATGCTACAAGAAACAGAATAATGCCAATAGCACCAATCATTCCTGCTGTGAGAGCAGCAATTCCAGTCTTCATGATAGAACTGGCAGATTTTATTTTTTTTTTTTTGCTAAAATTGCATGCAAAAGAAGCACTTAAATGACCAATTGCTACAGCACGGTCTGTGGGTCCCAAGAGAAGGCACTATTTTAAGACTAGGATTAACATCTTTTTGTGACTGGTCTAGGTTTCACTGGACTGTGGGAGAAGAGCTATTAAAAGCAAATGACCTGGTTCAGTTTAGCCACTGGGCTATACACCACAAACATGCTCCAAAGTTTCCCTCTTCCTTTCCCTCTCCTCAATTTCACAAACTAACTCTAGAAAATAGAAAAGAGAAAAATATAATAGTATCTTTTGTAATGATATCTATAATGGGAGTAAGTGGCTACTTGGAGTCAGGATTACAAATTATTGTGATTATTATTCAATAACTTACATTAAATCTCATTCAGTAAAACCTTCCACAAAACAAAATGTTAATGTTTAACAAAATGTTAAGCACAGCTCTTACAGACTAGTCTTTAAGACTTGGCAGAGAAGCTGTAAGAACTCTTTTTTACAAAGGATGTAAAACTGTAATTTTTCACAATTCCTAAATGAGACTGGTTACCATTTCTTGTGTCTTAGACGTCATGATCAAACTAAGGGTTGGTGCAAGAATTATCCTAGGAAATTATCCAAAAATACATGTACACCAAAAAATTATTTGTTTAATCAGCTTAATACATTTAGAAAAAGAGACTTCATAGACAGTTTGTTGGATCAGAGGTGACTTGTTTAAATGAGAGTGGAAAACTGAGTGGTGGTATATTGTTATGTTAAATGAGTGATCTTTACAGCTTGGATTTAAATCTCATTTACTCTATTTACTAGCTTATGACTTTGAACAAGTCTCTAAATTTCAGTTTTTACACCGTTAAAGTGGTGATGACAGCAATATCTAACTTTTAAGTTTGTTGTTAAGGTAAAACACAAAACATAATGCCTGGCACATCATATGAAACAATGCATCTTTTTTTGAGCACCTTCTTTGTAAACATTTCTGTGTAAGTCCTCTGGATACAAAAAAAAAAAGCATAGGATATGAAGTCTGTCCTTGTGGAAACTATTATTGAATAGGAAAAAAAGTACATATTTGGGTCAAATAAAATAATATAGATTATACAATCAAGCATAAAAATTTATTAGCTGAGAGAATGTAAGGTTTGTTGCATACTGGTTACTAAGTATTATGCGATGTTTTATGAAGAATATAATGTTATATAAGACATAATACTTTATATTAATAGGGGTTATTTTACATAGAGTAAGAGAGTAGGAGAGAGAGAGAGAGAGAGAGAGAGAGAGAGAGAGAAATGTGATATATGGTTCAAAGAATGTTACAGTAGCTCAGAGAAACAAGGACCATGAAGGGTTTGGACAGATGGTAGAGACAGGGATGACAGGTGGAGGGACTTGAAGTGCCTGTCTCAGGAAGATAGACTTTGTTTGACTGCCCTGGAGGGCTTTCTACCAAGCCTGGATCCCTTGTATCATATAAAGTGTACAGACACCTCCCCAAATCCTTCAGACTGGCTGACTGAATGCATTATTCTTTAACTGAGTGAAATGCAGCTGGAAAAGCCACACAAAGAACACAATCCAAATATCCTCCATTTGGCAAAGCGCCTGCTGGTACCAGGCCAGGAGAACAAGTTTGTATGAGATTTATTTCCCCTCCTTGTTTTTCAAGGAGGTTATCAGTGGAAGCATTAAAGTAAAAGAATCCTATGAACATTTTCCTTGAAAGAAGATTACAATCATCTTTATTCCCAAGGGTATCTTCAAGCTCTAAGTTTAAGTACCCCAGGATAAAGCTAATGTATATAGCAGCAAAGAGGCCCATAAATCAACCATGAACTAGACTTTTCTGTAGGTGAGCATGTTCTGTCACAGGAAAGTTACCCATTGGTTTTTATAAAAAGAAGTTGTATCAGTGACAAGGAGCTGATAACTAAAATAAGAAAACAAGGCATAGGTAACTGGAAGCTTGTGAAGAATTATATAGTGATAACTGATGTCTCTCAAGCTTTAGAAGCTAAAAAGTGTTGTCACTGTTAAAGTTAAAACAATAACATTTATCTGACCACTAAGTATTTCAAAAAGAAGCACCTGTTAATATGGATCCAACATTCTGTTTTCAATTTACACTGCTACCAGAGTGATAGCTTCCTCTTATCAAAATCAATTGTACCACCCATCACCTCTTTCAATTGTCTTCAAAATAAGTAACATTTCATGAGAAGATGCATTCAGTCCTTAAAGAAACACAGGACAAAACCTTAGTTAATTGCATACCAATATATAGCAAGTGAATGATGTCTTAAAATTAGCTGCTGTATTGTTATTCATTAGCTACATATAAAATGTAGTGTTACCAATCAACTATATAATAAACTCATTTTAACTATTTCTGTTTAATCAGTATATGTGGTATACTTTTACTGAAGAATCATATTAAACTTTGTTAACATTTTGACATCATTGGAGATATAGGTATTAAAGGGAGAGAACGATCCATCATGGGAAGCAGGATACACAGCAGACTCACAGAATGGCAGATGTCCTAAATAGCACTCCGGCCTCAGAATCAGCCCTTAAGGCATTCGAATATGGCTGAAGAGCCCATGAGAGTATTTTAGGCATGGAAAGCCAAGACACTCTGGCAAAAAAAAAAAAAGACCTAAATGAAAGATCTCTGCAAGTGAGATCCCAGTGGAAAGAACGGGCCATCAAAGAAGGAGGTACCTTTCTCTGAAGGGAGGAGAGAACTTCCACTTTGACTATGACCCTGTCGGAATAAGATCGAAGTCGCTGATCTCAAAAGGCTTCCATAGACATGGCAACTCATGACTAGAGTCTAGGGAGATTACTGACGCCATAAACAAGAGTGTCAATTTGTTAAGTCAACAACAGGAGTCACTGTGTACGTACCTCTCCTGTGAGATCTGTCCTTAGTGTGTTGTCCAATGTGAAGTAATGCTATAACCAGTACTGAAACAGTATTTTACACTTTGTGTTTCTCTGTGGGTGCAAACTGATGAAATCTTTACCTAATATATACAAAACCGATCTTCTGTATATAAAGATATTTGAAAATGAATCTTGATGTGAATGCAATAGGAGAGGGAGCAGGAGATGGGAGGGGTGCGAGTGGGAGGGAAATTATGGGGGGAAGCCATTGTAACCCACAAACTGTACTTTGGAAATTTATATTTATTAAATAAAAAATAAAAATAAAAAATTATCATTTTATGGACAGTTATGGACACTGTTTTCTAAGTGAGAAATAATAGGACTATCAACCTGGATATTTATGAACTGAATTCTGTTTCTAAAATTTGAATGACTTGTTTCCTTTACAATAACATGAAGATTGGAATACAGTTTGGAGATTCCCCAGAAACCTGAATATAGCCTTACTATACAACCCAGCCATCCCACTCCTAGGAATTTACCCAGGGGAAATTAAATTGGCAAATAAGAGACCTATCTGAACCTCAGTGTTTATTGCAGCTCAATTCACAATAGCTAAGACATGGAATCAACCTAAATGCCCATCAACAGAAGACTGCATAAAGAAATTATGGGATATGTCCTCTATAGAATACTATACAGCAGTAAAAAAAATGAAATCCAGTCATTTGCAACAAAATGGAGAAATCTGGAAAACATCAGAAAACAATAGGCTGGGTGAAATAAGCCAGTCCCAAAGGGACAAATAACATATGTTCTCCCTGATCGGTGACAACTAACTGAGCACCTAAAAGGAAATGTGTAGAAGTGAAACTGACACAATGAGAAACAATGACCTGATAAGCCCTTGTCTTGACTGTTGAGGAATAGCTTTCTATTTTTTTTTTTTTTTAGTATTTTCTTTTTCTACCTTAATACCATTGGTTGAACTCTTTAATTAACACACGATTATTCTTAGGTGTTTAAATTTAACTGAAAATTGATCCCTGTTAAAAATAAGAGTTGCAGCCGGTGCCACAGCTCAATTGGCTAAACCTCCGCCTGCGGTGCCAGCACCCCGGGTTCTAGTCCCAATTGGGGAACCAGATTCTGTCCTTGTTGCTCCTCTTCCAGTACAGCTCTCTGCTGTGGCCCGGGAAGGCAGTGGAGGATGGCCCAAGTGCTTGGGCCCTGCACCTGCATGGGAGACCAAGAGGAAGCACCTGGCTCCTGGCTTCAGATCACTGCAGCACACCAGCCGTAGCAGCCATTTGTGGGGTAAACCAACAGAAGGAAGACCTTTCTCTCTGTCTGTCTCTCTCTGTCTCTCTCTCTCTCTCATTAACTCCACCTGTCAAAAAAAAATAAGAATGGCAATAAGAGAGGGAGGTGATGTTATAGTTCAGCACACACCCATTCAGACTTACTCCTAAACAGTAGAGCTAGAAACGTGCCATGGGACTCTAAACCCATTAAGTTGGCATGTACCAATGCCATCTTACTAGTTAAAGTGATCAATTTAAGTTCATAATTGATCATAAAGACAGGATTAAGTGTCAAAGGGGTCGCATAAATAAGACCAGTGTCCGCTAATAATAATTGATAGAATTAAAAAGGAGAGGCCGGCGCCGCAGCTCACTAGGCTAATCCTCCACCTGCAGTGCCAGCACCGCAGGTTCTAGTCCTGGTTGGGGCGCCAGATTCTGTCCCAGTTGCTCCTCTTCCAGGCCAGCTCTCTGCTATGGCCCGGGAGTGCAGTGGAGGATGGCCCAGGTCCTTGGGCCCTACACCCACATGGAGACCAGGAGGAGGCACCTGGCTCCTGGCTTCGATGGGTTCAGCGCGCCAGCCGCAATGTGCCGGCTGTAGTGGCCACTTGGGGGGTGAACCAACAGAAAAAGGAAGACCTTTCTCTTTGTCTCTCTCACTGTCTAACTCTGCCTGTCAAAAAAAAAAAAAAGTTGAATTCTGATATTTAATTCACCCTTGATAAAAGTAATTGCTACTTAAATTGATTCATAACTATTCATTTTGTAAACTGCTTTAAGTTTTGAATTTAAAATATTTTTCTATATTTAGAAAGAAAAGATTAAGAGTGTTTTTATATTTTATATGCAATATTTA